TTTTCTGAACTTCTACAATTTTCATTAAGATTTTTAAGTTATCCTTAATTATTTTCCGTACTCGTCATTATTTTTATAAAATAAATTTTATCTCCAAATGATTAACTTTTAACATTTATTAACGATATTTATCCTAAACCTAGCATTGCAATTTTTAATTTAATATATATATTAAATTTTAATCATTACTTACTACTGAGTAAAAATTAAAGCAAATTATAGAGTTTATAAAAAAAAAATCTACATAATATCATTAAGATTAATTAAAGATTGAAATTTTAATAAATATAATATTTAAATATAGTTTATTTAGGAAATTTTGAATAAAATATTTAACTAAATACTACAAAATAAAATTACATTAAACAAATATTTTTGCTTTAAGTAAAATTATGAGAATCAATTTTAATTTTAAAGAAAAGAAAAAATGCTCTAAAAAAATTTTTAAATAGTTTAATAATTTAAAGAATTCCTCAAACATCTTTCGAAGTAATTTATGATAATGATATTTAAAATTACAGTCATAATTCAGCACGTAATTTCACTATTTATATACCAGAATTTCAATATTACATGGCTATAAATTGTATATAACAAGAGTAAAATGTATGAAGAGTAAGACGTAAATTATACATAAATGTAAATTTACATAAATCCGATCTTTAATAAAAGTTTCATGTTTGAAAATATGCGACCGATATAAATATTTATAATAATAATTTATTTATTCAAAGTTTTTTTAAAATCATACTGGCCAAAATATTTTTGTGAAACTACTAATAAGTTATTCATTTTAATTAAGAGCATAAATTTGAACAACTATTACTTGTTAATTACAAAATTTTAATATATAAAGTAAAAATTAAATAGGTATCATTAGTTACTTTCAAACAATGTACCAAAATTCGATTCGTTATCTAGATTTATTTATCATCTAATAGAATCCTTTTCGCTATTTATAACCTAATAAACTTTTTTTTCACACTGATATTTATGTGCATATAAAAACTATATAATATTTCTCCTGAAAAAAAGAAAACTTATTACTAATATTTAATATAATTTCTTAATAATTTCAATTTATTAATGTAATCCACAAATTATGAAAAAACACTTCCTTATAATATGTGAATATCAAACTTAAATTTTAAATAAAATCGTAGCTTTTTATTGTCTAATATATGAATGAATGAATAGAAGTATTTTTTAATCAAATTAATACAGTTTTGAAATTAGGAATAATTATTGAAAAGTAATAATTTCTTGGACTTATTGACTTAGTCGCTCACTTTTTAATCGTTAAGCATTTTGTCTATACAAGTTCACGAGAAAACTTGTGTTTAAAATTCATTTTTAAACTAATAAGAATAGGTAAAAGAAAACCTCTAAATCATGATAGTTCGATCGAACTATTATTTAACATGAACTACCTACTATATTTATATACTATATTTCATTCTAAATATTAAAACAGAAAAACCCCTCTGCAAATCCTGGGTGATATCAAAGCGAATTCTCGTAAGATTGCCAGTTATATGGAACTACTAGACAGACTATTCGGATATAACACAAGAATTTTACGACACAGCTGAGACGGAGTCATTTTCGTTCAATTGATTCAAGATTTATAAAGAGTATAATTTCATTAAAATTGTCATTTGTTTGTTAAACTTTTGTTTTAATATGTTTTATTAATCAATTGAAAGTGAGATTAAGCAAAAGTAATTATTATTGGATTTCCCTGAAAAGGGGCCTGAAAGAATTTCTGTATTTGTATTTGCTTATCCTGAAAAGGGCGGGCTGCTTTTATATTGAGGCGTGGAACTCAGTTCATTTCGGGCGGAGTCTCTCTCAACTCTATTTATGATAAGTCTGATGCGCCCTATATTTATTCTCACGAATAAAGTCAGAGTACACCAATCGGATTTCACTTTCTCCTTCTCTCTCTCTCTCTCTCCTTCTTCTCTGGTTCTTCTCGTAGATTAATTTCATTTTAACGTATTGTGAAGTACGTGCATATGCACCGAATTGTATTTCAACATACTTACGATTACAAGTATGCACAGACTAAATAAAAAATTTGCAATGCAAGTTAAATGTATATTTTATTAATTTTTTTAATTTATGAATGCTCTAATTGTTTTAAATTTTGCTGAATATTTTTTACTATATAAAGCAGTCAATAAATATAAAAATGATAATTAAAATTTTTTCGTGTTTTTATCATTCAATAAAAAAAGTAAAATATTAATTTATATTATAATCAATTTGTGATCATAATAAGCAACTTTTATTAAGTAATAAAAAAATGCAATAAATTTAAGATTTATTTTCATACTTTTATAGTGCTTTGATTCTGACATTTTAAATAGAAAGTGTTAAATTATCTAACACTTTAATTTATTCTCTAACTTATCGATACATGTCATTATTCATATAGATACGTTTTATAGTAATTAAATACAAAATTAATATTACATAAATTTCATTATAAAATAAATGTTATAGCTGCAGTTATAAACTACATAGCTAATTAGAAAGGTGACAAACCACCTTCAAACAAAGATGTAATTCAAATAAACATGTTCAAAGAAAATGTATTTCTTTCTGTCTGCGAAATTACTGTTGAAAAAAATTTCGTATTTGGAATTACAGTCTGTAGTATTATCGTAACAACCGATATAATAACAAATGAAAACACATTCTGTTCATTTTATTTTTTCAAATAAAAAGTTATAAAAAAAAATGAGAAATAATTTAATTATGGGTGTGAAGATATTAATTTTGCAATATATAACTAAATTTTTTAAATATCTGAAACTTTCAATAATAATAATTAACAAAATATTAAAGTATATAAAAAATATGAAAAACAATTAGCTTATTCCATCACACACACACACACACACACACACACACATATATATATATATATATATATATATATATATATATATATAAAGTATCAATAATATTTTGTTTCAATTTTTTCTAATTCCTTTCTATTAAATTTAATTTTATAATATACTTCAATATATACTTCAAATATATATTATAAATAAATAACATAAAGTAGTATGAAAATTAGACCAAGAATTATAAATGTTAGAAAAAAATTAGTAACATAAACTATTCTTTTACAATTTTGTCGTAATTAGAGTAAAATCAGTACTACTTTTATATCATAAATTTTGAAAAAATTTACTTTCAATTTATAAATAAAAAATGCTTTGATAGTAATAGCTTCTTTTCATAAACATATATGTAATTTAAACATCTATCTATTTTTCTAATGTCATTATCTTATACATAATTATTGTTTAAAAGAATTTAAAAAAATTATATTTTAAATAATTAGAAAAATTAAAAAAATATATTATAATAATGAAAGTTTACGATTATAATTTTGAAACTTCTTTCTTAGTGCGAATAAGAATACAATAGGAAACTCTTCGACATTATTGAAGAATTAAATAAAGAATTGTAAAGAATTTAATATCTGTTAAATCAATTTATTTAAAATTCCTTTAAATGATAAGATCATTGAAAATAATAATAAGATTAACTTTTTGAGGTAATTTATAAATTCATCATATATAGAAATAGCATTACTATTTCTTGAGTAAATTCTATGTAAAATATTAAATACAGTTTTTATAAATATTTATTTAAATTACAACTTTATATCTAGTTACTATAAATTTTAAATGAAAATTTAAAAAGACGAAAAAATAGAAATCATCATATAAATGACAAATAAGACGATTATAAATTGTAAAAAATACAAATTTCCACAAATATAATTTTTTCCATTTTTCATCCTTTTTAATTCTTAAAACCTTTTTTGTCAGTTTGTTATGTGATTCAAAAATTAGATCATTGCATACTATTTTTTACTTTTTAAATAATAAATCACACTCCTTATTTTATTCGTTACTTCTTCCAATTGTTCAGCATAAATACATCATTTTAATTATACAAAGTAATTTTTGCAATTAATAATTAATGTATTTATTCATAAAACTTTTAAAAAACTTTTATAGCATTAAATTACGATTGATATCTCAAATTTAAAAAAAAAGATATATTATTAAGATTTAAATATTAATTTGAATAGACAATATTTGAATATTCAAATACTACTGTACTTATGCATTTATATAATTATATTCATCAATAATATATATATATATATATATATATATATATATATATATATATATATATATATTTTTTTCACAATCCCGAGTACCGTATTACAAAAACTAATTATTAATGTTTAAACTAATTAACAATAATACTAAGTACGGTTTAGAATATCATATACCAAATTTAAATAAGAACACCAATTACTATTTCAAGAACTATGTTATGATTGATACTCTAGCTTATTTTAATTAACGAAATATATAAATCCTTATATAATTATTTAAAAAATTAAATTATAATAAAAACAGATTGTTTTTCAAATAAAATAAAATAAAATAATGCGCGTGTCAAAATTTGAAATAATAACCAAATTTTAAACTATATTATTTTCAATTTTTAAGACTATTATGATTAACCATATTATGTATATATTATGATTATTTATTCTATATATACACTAATTGTCGGCATTGAAATTCTTTTATAACACACTATCATTGCAATAAACAGATATTTTAACCATATTAGCTTTACTAATATAATTCTTATACTCAATTTCATTTTATATCAATAAAATTTATAAAATATACAAAAATAATTTATTTGCACGTTCAAATGAAATTTTACATACTGATAATACAGATTTAGATCGAAATAATTCAAATATGTAAAATAAATATATAACATTTATAAAAATTAAATATAATTAATAAGTAATTTTTATATTTTTTTCTGAACGGTGTATTATAAATTTCTTTTTACTATTCTCAAATATAATATGTATAATAATATAGTGTATACAAGTTTCAGGATAGGAAATTATTTCTTCGAACTGTGATAAAATTAATGGCTTTAAGTTGAAAATAATATACTTTTCAAAGATTCTTAAACGACAAATATATCTATTTCTATTGCTTGTGTAACTATAGTTCGTTTTTTATGTAATTCGATTTTTGTACATTTTCTATGAAATTTATAGAATTCCAAAACTGTTTTTCTCCAAAATTAATACTTTCTTCCATTTTAAATTTACCGGGTCCAGAAATATGTAAATAATTAAAGTTTGTTTCAGATGGATCTACTTTTTTCCACTCAGGTGAAAAATCTTGTACTCTAAAATTAAAAGCAAATCTCTATTTAGGTCAGAAGTCTTTAAAAAAGTTTGAGAAAATATGTAATAACCAAACAAACCCCTTATTAGCATACGAAGTCCACAAATGTAATAAATCACTTTGCATAGCTCGATCACTTTTAGTTATTGTTGGATTTATCATCGGATTTTCAATTACAAGATAAGCATCATCAGCATGACTAACGCCTAAAAATTCAAAATTATTAATAAAAGCGCTACTATGATTGTAATGATGATGAATATGATTATAATGACAATATAAGTAATAATATAAATACAATACATGTAAATATATATTTAAAATAAAGAAATATACATTATATCGAGTGCATTCAATCTATTTGTAAATACTTTAGTAGATAAATATTTTTCAAGTATTAATAAAGAATTAATATAAAATATAAACACAATATTTATATATATATATATATATATATATATATTACAAAGAATAAAATGTACACATAATTTACATTGCATGCATTATAATATTAATAATATAAGAAATTGTATTATTTAAAAATTAATAAAATTTATTGTTACATTACTTCAAGTTAAAATATAACGTGCATTATGATTATAAAATATAATATATTAACGTAATTTAATAAAATTAAAATATTTAGATAATTATAAAATATTATACGAATTTTGAAATAATATAATAATAAAAAATTAATTAAAATGAAAGCATGGAAATAAATCGGTTAATAATTATGGATAACAGAACAAACCAAAATTTTGTGTTGTCCCACTATATAGATCACTGAGACTTTCAGCCGATCTATAAGTAAAGTAATAAAACCATACAGGACTCTTATTCACCTTAGCTTGCATTCTAGCAGCTTTTTCTGCATCTATTACAAACAACCTATCACCTACCATTTTAATAACGGGCTTTATATTTTGTTGATTAAAGGAATTGTGCTGCATATAATGATTTCTAATTTTTATCGCTATTTCAGCATGCATCACTTGTGACAAGGTGTAATTGAAATCTAATAAATGCGGAGCTAACAATTCCCAATTTTCATTCAGCTCTTTCCAAAGCTGTCTATTTACTGCAAATTCTATAAATGAAATAATACTCATTAGCAATATAATAAATTAAAGTATTTTCTAATGGAATTTTTGTTCAAGGAGAAAACAAAATTACCAGCCACAGGATAAAGACCCTCTTCACTAGTAACACCCGTTATCCAAGGAACATCCATAACATCTCCACTCTGTACAATTAATACTGGCGAACGACTGATAAATGCATTATCCGATGCTTTTTCTATAACTGGTCCAAAGGGACTAAAGGGATTGTAAAGCCATGGCTAAAATTTATTTCAAATAATAATATATATCATAATTTTGAGCAAAAATGTTTATTTTTATATTAAATTGTAATTTCGATAATTTAATCTAAATCTCATATTTTTTCAATTCCAAGGTATATTCCATTAATCTATATATATATATATATATATATATATATGCATTTAATTAATATTTTAATATTGAAAAATATAACCACTATAAAGTAAGAATACATCAGTTTACGTTCAAATGAAAAAATGCTCAAAATTTTTACCATAAAATCTTTGACAGCCTGAACAATAACTCTTCCAGGTCGCTGTCTTAAGCATTCCACCATTTCATTAGTTCTTTCAGTCGGACAACCCATAAGAGTACCAAGCTTTTTGGCTTTCTCTGAAGAATTTTCCGTTTGAGCCCAACAATCTAAAGCTGTACCACTAATAGACATACCGTTTTGGAAAAGGCCAACGCTCAATGGGGATAAATAGTGATAATGTACACTGGCAGCGCCAGCGCTTAAACCTATTAAGGTAATTTTTTTAGAATCACCCCCGAAAAATTCGATATTATCATGGATCCATCTTAATGCCATGCTTTGATCTTTGAGTCCCATATTTCCAGATACAATATCATCATCAGTACTCAAAAAACCTTTAATCAAATTTATTATTAAGTTATTACATAGTTATTTATAGTTTCATGCATTTAATTACAACTGAGTAGAGACAATATATATATATATATATATATATATATATATATATTATATATATTTATTTAAATTAAAATTTAAATATTGTATAATAAAAGAGTTTATTTTATTTAAATAAATACATTTTATTAATAAAAAAATATATTAAAAAGAGTAATACTATTAAACCATATATATATTTTTATAATTGTAAGATTTTTATGTAATAAACAAAAACTTCTTCTATTTTAATGACATAATTTTTTTTAACTATATTAGTTTAATTTTAAAATAAATTAATAGTTAAAATTTATAATATATTTTAAATACGAATTTAATTTTAATTAATAATTGAAAATACCGTTTTTTAAATTCAAATTTAGATACTACACAAGAATTTTATAATACAGTTTTTGAATGTTGAAAACAATTATTCATTTAAATATAAAAAATATATTTTACTTGACACAACTCTTACTGCTGTTTGTATAATTTTATTCAATTATCATTATTATAAATTACCGATTATGAATTATATACCATAGGAAAAAATTGTATGATTATATATAATGCAATTTAACTATTATTATTATAATTAATAACTTAGTTATTATTTTATCTATCACATATTGTATCAACATTACAAAATATAACTAAAAAATTAAATAATCAATTTAACGATAACTTGTAATATTCATATAATATGTGATAGACGAATAATAACTAAATTAAAAGTTATAACAATAACAGATAAGCTTCACTTCATAAAAAACTAATGATATGATTCATTGCACACGATAATAATGTATTTTAATCTTTATAGGTTTATTATTAGTCTTTTTAAGCAGGGTAAGATTGTGACTTTACTCATAATTATTTGTTGAAAAATACATGCGATTATAGTGCGTTTATCAATAAATGCACACAGAATTAGAATACACCCAGGTTTTTAATCAATAATAAACAAATGAATGTATATATAAATTTGCTTAAATCTGCAATAATTAATTAATGACTTTTTATTTTTAATTTCAACTAATTCAAATTTATTTAAATTTAAACATAATATCTATATAACTTATTAAAAATAGCCTTTAATCATATTATTTATTTATTTGCATAATATATAGAAGCTAATATAGTTTGTAATACAAACACAAATACAAAGATAAAATAGAATTTTAATTATACTCATACCTAGTGGTCCTAAACGGTAATTAATAGTAACTAAAATGATATTTTTATCTATTAAAAATTTCCCGCCAAATATGTTGCCCGATCCATGAATAAAAGCACCCCCATGAATCCAAAATATAACCGGTAGTAAGAAAGTTTCATCTTCTCGTTCCGGTATATAGATATTCAAATACAGACAGTCTTCAGCGCCAATGACATATTCACCTGCCAGGTGATACGGTTTATGATTGTATTGCAGGCACTGATGCGACAACTTAGTCGCTTTTATTTCACCTGGCCAAGCCGGTATTGATTGTGGCGACTACTCAAATAAAGTATAATAATTTAATATATTATTTATTTATATAGAACTTAATCAATAATTCAATAATAATTGTTCACTAAATGATCTTTTAATTACATCCAAACATTTCAATAGGTGAATGGAAGAAGTTCAGGAAAATTATCAAATGACAAATATAATAATATTTTGTTATACAAAGTAATGGTTTGCTATAAAAAAAAAAAAGTAGTTACTGGTGGTAATGAGTTTAAAATTAATTGCGTTCAATAAACAAATCAGTTCTGAAAGTACATAATCTAGTCTAAATCATAGAGGATTTCAAAGCCAGGAGATGTTCAATGGCTATACTCAATGTACAAATTCAATATTAAATATTTCTAAGCTAATAATGTAGTTTATTTACATATGTACATTTATATTTACATTCATTATTTCTAAAATATTGATATTATTGTTTATTTATATTCGCATACAGACAAATATTATAACATAACTTGTATGTTATATTTGTAAAATGTTTAACATTATTTGTTTTCATAAGAAATAACATAAGTATATAAACTAATTATTCTACTCCAAGATTAAATCTTTTGTATTGAATATAAATAATTCTATACTTTTAGTATAAAAATATTAATATTTGAATCAAAGTGAATTATATAATCTGTACATCATTTATAAACTTTTATAAAACATAATATATAAAAATACATGAAAATTGTATTTTTTATAATTAATACTATTATGCATCGTATCATATATATTGTGATGTGTATAAAAAATTATAATTAATATAAAAATTAAAAATGTACAAATAAGTTTAATAGAAGTAAATAAATGATTAACCTTCATTGTTGATATAAAATTATTATAAAAATAAGGGTTGAATTTGGGAAAATAAGAAATTAATTATATAAATAATAGAACAAAAACTATACTATAACTATACTACAGTTTAGATTATATAATTTTATATTTAAAAATGAATTCCAATGATTGTAAAATAGTATCATTCATCGAATAATTGTTTTATTTATCTTTAAATGAATATTATAATGTATAGTGCAATATAAATAGTTAATTGATATTAAATTTTCATTTATAATATAATGCTTCTGTAACATCTACATACTATATCAACACATATATCAATAATATATCAATATATTTTAATATACGTATGTTTGCGCGCGCGCGCGAGTGTGTGTGTGTGTGTGTGTGCGTGCGTGCGTGCGTGTGCGTGTGAAATTATTCATCAGTTCTATATAGCTAAGAAGATAAAAATATTTGTTCTTAAAATTATATTACATTTAAATAAAAAAAATATATAGATGACAATATTAAATTACATTTGTAATCCGTTATGTCATAAATAACATTATTAATATTAATATTTAAAAAATAATTTAAATAAATAATAGTTGGAAAGCTTTAATCGTTGATGATTTATTTAAAAATGATTGGTGTATTATAATTAAACTTTTAAATTATTAATGTACTTATATTTACTTCAAAACGCAATTTTCCAACTGGCGGCAAAGCATATGGAATCCCTTCGTAAGCTTCATAAAGTTTTCCATACTCAGATATTTTGTAATATCCTTGGATGTTCCCGAGAGGTGTTTTTACTCTTGGTAAATCATTATCTGATCGAACTAAATACAATGTTGCTATAATAAAAATTGAACCCACGAATCTCATCATCATTTTATCCGAATCGAGTTACAGTTTAAATTCAACTGACTTGTATTCCGTATATCAACTATACATATATTACAACAGAAGAATGATAAACATAGATGAGTAGAGAAATTACTCAAGAAAATTTACCAAGTTACGTATATGTATAATGCCAAGTAAATAACTGCTTTCGATATTAATCTTTAAAGTAGCGAAGAAGTTAAAAGTTTCTTTTTTTTTTTTATAAAATTTTAAGTAAAACTCATATAGTCATTTAATTATATTTTGAATATGTGCATTTAATTATTTTTTTAAATATTTGGTAAATGTGTTTTATTAAGGTATTTAAACTAAAATGCGTAGCAAATTGAAAAAAATCATAATACTTGAGATTCGTGTATTACGAATAATTTCAATCTAGTCATTGCAATTCACCATATACTTACCTCATCCTGAACACAAGATCGTTACATAATAAATATAAATATCCAATAAGCGAAAAAAAGAATTAGAATTTCATAGAAACTTGACTTCATATTCATACATATAATTATTTCGATATATATAAATATATATATATATATATATATATATATATATAGGTAACAATGCGGCGAATGAATATGAAAAGCTTTAATAGTTACGAAACTGCTTTTATAAAGAGTTATAAAGTCGAATCACATATGACTCCAAACCAAGAGATATGAAGATGAATGAGATTGAATTAACAAAAACTAACAAAATAGTGATACAATCACATATTTTTATTTTTATCGATAATTCATAATTACCGATAAAATTAACGAAAAAAATTTATTTGATAATATATAAGAGATATTTATGTACATATTAATTAAATAAAAATGTTTTAAAACAATAATTCATTATCTTTTACAATATTTTATTACTGTTAAATATACTTTTGAAATTTGAATTTTCCAAAGTTTTTATTTAAAAATTAAGTTTTTCAAAATTATTTTCGAATATCTTTAAAAATTTCAATTTAAAATTATAATTTTATATAATGAAAAATATAGAAAAAGAGCATTACAGTATATGAAAATAATATAAGGTTAAATAAAATTAAAGTTAAGATTCACGTCATATCGACGATAAAATGATTTACAGAAAACAATAAATTATAAGTATTATTGAATGAAACGGGATTTTTATATTTAAAAGCAGTACAAATATAAAAAAATATATATATGAAATCTTATACATTTCTATTTAAAAAATTTATTCAGTTTATTTTATTGCTTAATAAAAAATTTACACTAACATCATAAAAATTAATTATATTTGTAAAATAGAAATTTTTTTTACGTACATACATTAAAAAATTAATTTTTATTAAAGTTATTAAATAGTTCCAAAAGTAGAGTCTACTTTTTAATTTTTATTTATGTTTTCAAAAATTAAGTATTTGTTAAGAGCTTATTTATATTTCATTATTATCAATGATTGCCCCGACTAATTTTAGCTTTCCAAATAAACTTACCAAATAATTGTTACCAAATAATTGATGAAGTTTATTTTTTTATTATGCGTATATTTGTAATATTTTACATTTGGTGATGTATATTGCTAAATGTTATATTTAAATTTATATGAAAGGAAATCATTTATTTAATATTTGTATAAAATTTGATAAATTTTATCCTTTTGGTTATAAGTATTATTGTATTTAATATAATAGGCTATTAATATATTTATAATATTTTTATCAAATTTTATTAAATAATTATTAAATTACTATGTACATATCTGTGTTACATTTAAAATAAAAATTTCAGTCTTAATATTTTCATATTAATAGCTACTAGTAATCTTTTTTTATAATGCTAAACAAATTATTTATTTTCAAATCATTTTTTACGTAAATTAATAATTTATAAATAATTAATATTATTATTAATAATTGCATTCATGATATATAATACTATTATTAATATTATAAATAATTAAGGATTTAATAAATATTACTAACAAACTATTAAGATTTTAATAAAATTTGTTTTTCCTTTTCGTAGCAGAAAATTAAGCTTTACATAATAAGTTTTTAGCAAATAAAAATAAATTAATGATGTAAGATTTATACATATTTTGTAAAATAGAATTTTAAATTAGAATATTCTCATATTATATTTTTATTTATATTTTGCTTTAAATAGAAATTTCAAGTAAATAAATGCTTACGTTGTCTCCAATTTTCAAGTCAATTATCATTCATTTTATTATTATTATTTTTTTTTTTTTTTTTTTAATCATTTTATATTTCTTTCAACATCTTATTAATTAGACTTCGTTCAATGTTTACCGTAAGATAATATAATCATCCATAATTTTTCTAACTCCTTATCTTTTAAATAATGACTATTAATGATGTATAAAGGAAATTTACAATTAAAAAAATTTTAAATACTTAAATAAATACTATAAATAAATTTAAATAACAACTATGTATTTAAATTTTTTTTATTTTGCACATCAATTATAGTTGAAATAGAAATATTATTTTAATAATTTTTTTCTTAAAATATAATTCTTTTAATTAATATAAATAATATAATATTTAATAAGAAATCTTATATAATTATTTTAAAGAATATTTATTTCTAAGATTTATTTAAACTAACTTGTGTATTTTAATTAAATTTTTTATTTTCAGACTATTTTATCTCTCTTAATAATTTGATTGGATTGATCTTTGACTCGTATTTTAGATAAAAAAAATACTAAATTTTATCTACATAATAAATTTCAAGAATTTACATTCACTGAATAACATTTGAAAATGTACATCTTTATATTAATTACTAAATACAATTTATATATGTAGTATATTAATTTGATACAAATATATTTAATTAATTATCTTCATAATATAATCAATATAATCATATAAATTATGTATATTTCCTTGGTATAACTACTTTATAACTGGACGGTTAGAAAAATAGTTATACTTTTTTTATATACTTAGTTTTCTAATACTTTATAAGTACTTATATAATTGAGTTTTTATACACTAATTAAATTTAATAAAGCGTTTTAATGAACATGAGCTTATAAAAGAAATCTAATATAAAACCTTTTAACAAAACGAAAAAAATTTTAAACAAATCTGCGTTTTTACAAAATATTGATATCGAAATATTATCGACAATTAGGAAGGTTTATTGATTATGTCTATATTGTATGCACATATTCATAAATAATATAAATTTATCTAAAAAATATGTCACTATGCGCATACATTTTAAAATATTCCAATACGTTATAAGCCTTTTTACTCTAACGAATAATTTGTTATTGCATCTACTTATTATGTATGTAGCTTTTACCCTGTTTTTATTAGACGCACTAATAAAAAATGTAATTTAGTAATATTTTTCTTAATAATACCTTTTGATAGAAGAGAAAATTAAAATATTCGATTTAAGCATCGAGTAATTTTACTTTATTACGATGAAATATCAGTAAAATTGTCAAGAATTAAACAAAGCTAAGACAAAACTAATTTTCTTTTCCTTCGTGGCATCCTTACAGTTTTTGATACGGTTTTAAAAAGATAACATACCCCGCCATTTGCGCCTCTAGGATACACGTAACATTTAATTATTATTTACTAAATTTAAAACAATACAAATAAACAACATTTCTAATTATACTACGTTTGATTAATCATTACGTATATATAGATCTACAGTTGAATATGTATTATTATGTCTGTTAATATTGTTTTACATAGGCACAACGATATATAAAATTCAAAGCATTTAAATTGATAGAGAATGTGTGATAGAAAAATGCTTAGATCGTATTTGTAAAAATAATTATAGACAAACACGAAACATAAAAAAAATAAAATTATAAATGTAAAATTTCTAAAATAATAATTTTTTCTTTGTTTTTCTATATTAAAAATGTATAGAAATTGCTTAAATATGGTATATTATTGTTTAAATAAAATCAATTATTATTATTGATTCCAAAACTATTTATAACAAATTAATTGTATAGTTGTATGTGATAGTGCTTTTCAAATAAAATTACTTATTACAAATATTAATATATTTTTTTATAATATTGCACTAATTAATATAATAGAAACTCTGATAAAATAGATAAAACAAAATCATAAATAATAACATGTTGCATACATAAACTTATCAAATTTTTACACTAAAAAAAATTGAGTTTATATTATATTATCAAAATTTGTGGTCCAGGCATAGCCATATCTGTCTATAATCTACCTTAAGAACTTCAGTTAATATAAACTACTCTTAGCAAAAAACATAAATTTATATAAAGAACATTTTTGTTTCAAAATTCATTTCAAATTAATATTAAAGAGGCATTATTTTAAAACATAAAAATCTTGTTCCCTTATTTTTTGCTCAAATTTAAAAAATAAATACTAGAGGCGCTGACTACGCTCGGATGATAATTTATGCTGGAGTCAGCGTGGGTATGTAAAATTCAAAGTTTGACAACAAAGATTGAATTAAGACAAAATATTTTTAAACAATAAAATACATAATGGATTATATTTGAATAAACAAATAAATCATCCATTGCATATAATAAATTATAAAAATAACGTTTATTTGTGTATTGCCAATGTAAGTTTTTTATGTGATCTTATATAGATTAAACCGTTAACGGTTAGCTAACACAAGAAGAAAAGGGAAAGATCGGAATAAAAATAAATGTAGCACTACCCTATAAATCTTAGCTACATAGGTTAGTGAACACTCGAAGAACTATTTTGTGGTAAATTAACTTAAAATGAGTGTTACTTATATAAAAAAGTATCCCATAAAATAAAAACTTTAATTACAAAATAATTCAATACTTACGTTATACAAATTAATGTTAGATCATCGGTATTATATATATACTTCAAAATATAATTTTTGTTAATGCAAGTGTTACATGAACAGTAAGAAAAAATGGATTTGCCAGCTACACAAGCTATCTATGAAGATGAAATCCTGCCTACACAACAGATTACAACAAACAAAAATAATGACAATGAAGTGGTAGTTATAAATTATTATTCACATAATTGTTATAAATGAATTAATTATAAAAAAATATTTTAATATTTCATATTTTACATAAAATATTCAGATTGGAACACTATCTATAGGAGATAAACAACATTTAATTCTTTCTGGAATTACTACAATTGGCAGGCATCCAACATGTACAATTATTATAAATCATGAGGTATTATATTTTTTATTATCTATTAATAACATTTACAAAAAATTATTTTTACATATATTTATTTTATATAAATTATATTTTTAATCTTAAACACTTGTATTTTTAAAATTTGTTTCTATTTTATTTTCATTAAAATCAATAGAATTCCAAAAATATTTTTCTCCCAAATTATTATTTTTTTCTATTGAAAATTTACCTGGACCAGATATGTGTAAATAATTAATCTCTTCGTTAGATTCATTTACTTTAGGCCAATCTATTCCAAAATCAGGTTTACTAAAATTTTATTAAATTAATTTAAATATTAATTCTTCATTTTCAAATTATATTATTATTAAAATTAACTAACTAACCTGTTAGTAGCAACTGAAACCCAAAAGTTTAATAAGTCATTTTGCATAGCCTTATCGTCTGTTGAAGTTGCTTGTAAATAAGATGTTTCCAAAACAAGAAGAACATCATCAGCATGACTAACACCTATAAGTTAAAAGAAAAATATTCTCTTTTACCATTCATATATAAACAATATCTAAAGATAATTTATTTTTTGACTCTGTAGTATCTACCAATATAATAACTACTTATACATTTATTATGTATTATACTAATGCAATTACAAAAATTTAAATATATAAAATCTAGAGTTAAAAATTCATACCATAGTTTTCTTTTGTTCCACTCATTACATCACTGAAACTTTGATTAGCTCTGTAACTATAATAGTAAAACCAAACTGGACTTTTGTTAAACTTGGCTTGCATTCGAGCTACTTTTTCCGAATTAACAACAAATAACCGATCGCCAACCATATACGTTAGCGATCGCACACTTTCTGCATCAATTGATTTTGATCCAAAATAATGTTCTCGAATTAGCTTTGAAATTTCAAAATGTCTGTCTTTTGGTATTGTATTATTATAATCAAGTAAATATGGCGCTACTAATTCCCAATTATCATTTAAATATTTTAAATGATTATCCTTCGATATAAAGTCTGTAAAAAATAAATGCAAATTAAATGAATAAATTAACAATGAAAAAGCTTAATATTAAAAGTATACATACTAGCAACAGGATATAAACCTTCTTCGCTAACAATACCAGTTATCCAAGGAATATCTTGCGCCTTACCACTTGTAATGATTTCTGCTGGAGATTCATTAATAAAATAATTTTCTGTAGTTTTTTCTACAATTGGTCCAAATGGAGTATAAGGATTATAAAGCCAAGGCTAAAATATTATTGTTAATTGAATATTTAATATTTAATAATAAAAGCTTAGTTATATTTATTTTATATATTTTATATATTTATATATATATTATTTATAATTATATATATATAAAACTTTTGTATTCTATATTGAGAGTAAAATTTGAATAATAAAAAAATAATTATGTATGTGTATAAAATTCTTTTGGTATAATAATATTCAATTAATTAGTCATATTAATATTAAACTATTAAATAATATTATATTATTATTATACTATTAAATATTAAATTGATACAAAAGAAATATAAAATAATGACTTAATTCGATGTAGAAGAAAATGAACGTGTATTCGTTTAATATATTTACACAAATACAAATTTTATTACCATAAATTCAGAAGTAGCTTGAACTATAGACCTAGGCGGGCGATACCTTAAACACTCTACCATTGCTGTTATATCATCTGTTGGACAACCCATAATAGCCCCCAATTTTTTTGCTTTTTCTAAAGGATTTTCAGTCTGTGCCCAACAAAGCAAAGCTGTACCACTAAATGATATACCATTTTGAAATAATCCAGCACTAAGAGACGATAGATAATGATAATGAACACTAACACCTCCTGCACTTACTCCAATCAGTGTTATTTTATTTGAATTTCCACCAAACCATTCAATATTTTCATGCACCCAACGTAAAGCAATACTTTGATCTTTAAGTCCCATATTTCCAGAAATAACTTCATTTTCTGTACTTAGGAAACCTGTAATTCATATCTATACATTTAATTATTTAATTGATATTCGATATGACATTATAAATGTAATTACTAATTATAATTTAAATGAAAATCTAAGAATATCATTAGTATTTTATATTTATGTATAATCTATATTGACCAATATGAAATCTTAATTACCTAACGACCCTAAGCGATAATTAATTGTAACTAAAATAATATCTTTGTCTGCTAAATATTTGGCACCATAATCTATTCCTGCACCATATTGAAAGCAACCACCATGTATCCAGAATAAGACAGGTATAGTTTCAATTGTTTTGCGAATTGGCACATAAATATTTAAATATAGACAATCTTCACTTCCTTCAACTGGATCATTTAGATTTTGAGGTATATGTGAATATTGAAGACAAGAATCCGACAATTTTATTGCCTGTAGTTCTCCTATCCAAGGAGGTATTTTCTGTGGTTCCTTAATAATAATTATAATAAATATTATTAGATTTTCTTCTGACTTTCCCTTGACAATAAGTGAAAAGAATTATCATAAAAAAAAAAGTTATCGCTAAATATAATTAATATTTATCAACAAATAGACTACAAAAGGTATATTTTGTAATTAAGTGATGCTTTTATTTTGTATAGGAGTAAAATTTTGAGTTGCATGAAATATAAACTAGTAATATTAAGTACTCTTACTCTAAAACGTAACTCTCCTATTGGTGGACGTGCATAGGGAATTCCTTCATATGCTGCATATAATCTACCATTTTCAGACTTTTTGTAATATCCTTTAAGTTGTCCTAGAGGAATTTGTACTTTTGGATAATTTTTTTCACTATTTATTATAATACAATTCATTAATAAAAGCATGTAGCTTAACCACAACATTTTACTGTGATATTGTTATTTTTCATACTGTTACACATGCAGTGTGATAAACATTAATATGTCCATTCCGTAATCACAACAAGTTATCAGCACTTCTGATAGAAGTCTTACTGTGAAGCTAATTTTAAATATTGAATATATTTTGGATTTATTTAACATTTATAAATTCAATATAAATTGAATATATTTAAAATATAATAACAATACAGTTTCTTCTTTGATTTTTTTCTTATTTATCAATAATAATATGCCAATTAATTAATATAATAATAAAGGCATTGGAACTTATATTCAGAAAATTATTTAATGATTAATTTTACAACTATGAGTTATTAACAGATAAAACATATCTAAGGTCAATACACATCATTTTTTTTAAATATCAAATATCAAATATAAGATGATAAGTCTTACATATATTATGTAAATATATAATTATAAAATTTACAGACAGTATCTAAAAAACATGCAGAGATTGAGGCAGAGAGTATTGACGGATCTCTTTTTATTAAAGATCTTAATTCATGTAATAAAACAAAAATAAATAATGTATGTATAAAATCATTACACATTTATAGCTTATTTAATTGTTTATTTAATAATTTATTTACTAACTAAATATACTATTTTAAATTTTAGACTAAATTAAGATCATACTCTTCATATCAAATCAAAGATGGAGATAAATTAATTTTTGGACAAGTTACCTCCACTTTTAAGTTGCACTATACATCGGATGATTCCTTTATAGTATCTACGCCTCAAATAAAAAAAAAAATTCAATCTTTTATTCCTGGAACTCCAGATTCTTCATTAGTAAGTATATGTTAATATACAAATTGTAAAGTCTTTCAATATTTATTTTAAATATCAAATTGTTAGAAATAATTAATTATAAAAAATAATCATTAATATATTTAAAATGCTATTTTTAATTAAAATAGATGCTTAAAATATGTATAAACGGTTTAACTATTATTTAGCCTTCTTATCAAGTTAAATATTTTTATTTTATAAATTTTTTATATTTTAAATTTAAGTGAAAACAATTTGTATTCAAGGTATCGAATGAGAAGATAAACTATTATTTATTTAATATTTTGAATAATATTGACTGATTTATAAATAAATAATTTTATAATTTATTTTAAAATCTGCTCACAATGTCGTATAATTAATTTCTATAGAATGCCTCATCGACTTCGGAAAATAATGTTTCAGTAATACCTGAAACACAAACGGATATAATCGAAACATCCTTCCAGCGTCCTGAAATATCTGTTTTAAATAATGAACAAATAAGTGTAAACCTTCCTCCAGTGATGAACTCCAATTTTTTATCATCTTCTTTATCATCAAATAAAAGTGATCAAAATGATATTACAAATTGTAAAACTCAAATATTACCTTTGAAAGAAGAACTCGATAATAGTATAAATGCTTCTGAAATTCATTATTCTATTTCTGGCAATAAAAGTACTAATGATTCAAATGAAAATATTTATGACATGGAAACACAAAGACCTTCCAATCTTGATGAAAATGAAGACAATATCGAAAATGCAGCAACACAACATATTAATTATAATAAATCAGATCTTTATAACAACAAATTTAATGATCTAACGATCTACGATGCTAAGACGCAAGACATTGATTGTGAAACATCTGTGAATGATTCCATAATAAACCTTGAAAAACAGCAACTGTATCGTAAATCAGAGGTTAATGAAAAGACAGTAAATAATTCTATTTACAGTGCTGCTACACAAAAAATGTTACCTGAAATGTCAAGAAAGGAATCTGTAGAAGATTTTGAAATACAGCTGCTTAATTGTGATGCATTCAATAGCAATAAAAGCAAATTACAAGATATGTCCATTTACAGTACTGAAACACAAAAAATTGAATCAAAAGTATTATGCTCTGATATAGAATATTTTGAAACACAGAAATTATCTGATCCTATTAAAGAAAACTTAAATAATAAATATGAAGAATCTATTTATACTGCAGAGACACAAATTATTGAGCCTAGAGAGCTTACTAGTCAACAATATATAAATAATATGAAAATAGAAAAACACCATAATGTAGAATATAATGAAGTTTCAACACCTAATTTATCCAAAATAAAATCTAATTATAAATCTTTAGATATTGAAACACATTTGTTAAGTAATCACAAATCTGATTTAGATAGAGAAAAATCTGATAATAAATTATTTTATGATGACAGTTTGCATAAAAATACTTCTGCAATATGTATTAATGAATCAATAGAAAATTCTGATAAAATTAATAATTTATCTTACAATTATAAGTCTGAAAAAAATAAAGAAGTTGAACAAGAAGATGAAATAAAACAAAATATTGAAATCGATTATTTAAAAAATACCAATTCAACTGATGTTAATTCGTCGATGTGTAATAATCAGAAATCTATCGAAAATATTGAGTCTGAAAATCCAATTAAAAAAAATGTGAAAACTACATCCAATTTAGAATTTTCGATGGAGGATATGGAAAAAATAAAGATAATTAAAGATAAAAATTCAACATATGATGATAATGAAGATTGTGATACACAGGATTTGGAAGAATTATCATTTGATTCAGGTTTCCGAACAACAGAACAGGAAAGTGATGATCCTAATAAAACAAATAATATAAAAAGTAATGATAATAAGATATCTGAACTGCAAGTCTCTAAAAAATCTATGAGTATAAATAATTATGATGAAGCAGATGATTTTCAGAAGAAGTATAATTGTCATTCAACAAATGAATCCTTTTCTTCAACTAATAAACAGTTTAAAAAATTAAAAAACATTCATAATGAAGATCAGATAAAAAATGTAGTAGATAGTAATGATGAAGATGAAATGTTTTGTTCACAAAATTTAATTCAAGATTGTTCATTTGCATTTCTTTCTGAAGAATCACAAATTGATGACCAATCAAATAGTAATCATAAAAATCCTCCAAATATAGAAAAATATGAAAATGAATTTACTACTGATAAAATATTCAAAACTTCTATAAACATTGACAATAAAATTTTAAATAACGATGAAGAAACATTACAGAAAAAAAATAAAAAAAATGATACAGAAACTAATGAAGGTATTTTTCCTAAAGAAAATGATATTGAGAACTTTAATAATAAAAATAATATCAACAATAGCAAAAAAGTAAATCATAAAGAAATCAAAAGTGATTCAGAAACTGACGAAGAAGGTATTTTTCATAAAGAAAATGAAATCAAGAACTTTAATAATAAAAATAATATCAACAATAGCAAAAAAGTAAATCATAAAGAAATCAAAAGTGATTCAGAAACTGACGAAGAAGGTATTTTTCATAAAGAAAATGAAATCAAGAACTTTAATAATAAAAATAATATCAACAATAGCAAAAAAGTAAATCATAAAGAAATCAAAAGTGATTCAGAAACTGACGAAGAAGGTATTTTTCATAAAGAAAATGAAATCAAGAACTTTAATAATAAAAATAATATCAACAATAGCAAAAAAGTAAATCATAAAGAAATCAAAAGTGATTCAGAAACTGACGAAGAAGGTACTTATTCAAGCCATTTATCAACACATATTAATAAAAATTCAAGTTTTAATACTAATCAATATGATTCTGATATTAATAAAGACAAAATAATTGAAAAATACTCTGATAATAAAAATGAAAATTATTTGATCTCTTTGGAAAAACAACCTATTTCATCTAAAGAGAATAATATAATACTTGAATCATCAACTACAGATTCAGAAAGCAGTATATTTAATGATTATGACGATGAAAATAAATGTTTAAACCAAGTGGTTCAAAGTTCTTGTTTTCCTTCTAATTTGAAAAGAAGTCAAACGGGAAAAAAATTATTTACTACTTCCAGTATTAATATAATGTCCACCTCTGCTGAAGTTGTGAATGTATGTAAATCGTCAGATATACAGAAAAATATCGAAAGCAATGACACAACTGCAATTCATCTTATTAATGTGGACAAATCATTGATTGATAATGATAACAAAAATCAATGTCTACCTGTGCAAATTATAAACGGACAAAAATTAACTATTGCCAATAATTCAGATAATATTTTATTACCTTCTACGTCAAAAATGCCAAGGCAATCAAATCTGCCAATAAAGGAAGTTAAAGAATTTAAAGATATTGATTTCATATTATCTAAAAAGATAATTGGCTCATCGCGGATTACTGAATTATCTTCAAAAATAATTGATAAACCATTTATTAATAAAAATATTGAAGTATCTAAAAATGACTCGAATGAAACTGGAGCGGATCAAATGATTGGAGAAATTAAACCAAAAATTTCATTAAATCGTTCAAAACGACAATTAGAAGAATTAGACATTAAATCCAATAAGTCTAAAAGAATGAATAACTACTCGAATTCAAAAGTAAATACTAATGATTCCATTGAACGAAACTTGGATGAAATGTTTGAAGGATACCAAGAGAAATCTATAGAAAAAGAACCTGAATTACTAACTCAACAATTAACAGATATTTTAGAATCAAGTGAGCTCGAAAATAGTTCGAATATTGATTTCAACTCATCAACATTGTCGCCAACGCTCGGTACTAGAAAAAGCAACGTTAAGATAAAAAATCGTCGTAGAACAATGCTTTTTGAAAAATCTTGTACAATGTTACAAACAAACAAAAGTAAAGATAATCTAAACGATACCATTGAACAAAATCTTAATGAAATTTTTAAGAATACAGACAATACTGTTCGAACATATGAATCTGACGGAATGCTAACACAGCAGTTGAAATCTGTTCTTCAATCTCAAAATAATAGTCAATTATTTAATGACGAAAATATCACAGAAAAAAAGTCACTTAGTTTATCCACGAATTCTGGTAAAAAACATCGGCTAAGTTTATCAATAAATTTGAACAATTCATTCGGTTCCGAAATTGAAAACGAAAATTCTACAATATTAAATAAGATGTTAACTTTAGATCCTAATAAACAAGAAACTACTTTACAGAAAAGTAATATAGATAATGATTCACAAGATACAGAAATATATTTTGCAAATATAAAGTCCAATAAGAAAAAAACTTTTATTATAACTTCTCAATCAGAAGATGAATTGGGAGATTTCCAATCACTCGACGGTAACGATAAGGAAATCGTTAAAAAACAAGAAAATGAGAGGCTTTCTAGTGAGAATATAAAGGAATCTGATATGCTTGTAAAATGTAACCAATCTAATGATAATTTTCTTAATAAAATAGAAACAGATACTTCTAAGGTTCGTCCTAAAAAACGCATCAGCCTGTCTTTATCAAAGAAAGTGAATCTAAATTACTCCCAGGGTTCACTTAGTGATCTAGAAGTAGAACAAAAATTTTCTAGAAAAGAAGATTACAAATCTACAATGTCAAGAATAAACACGAGTAATGAACCAGAGACCATACCTACGGATGTATTAAATAATCCTAAATCCCGTCGAACATCCTTTGACAAGGTCTGTACACCCAATAACACCAATCTATTTATTAAAGAAATTGCGAACACAGATGACTGTGTAAGTAGTGACGATGACTTTCTCAGAAGTATGCCTGAAATTAAAGTAGCAGGAACCGTCGATTGCCCTGCTACGAGTTCGCAACTTGCCGCGCCGAGCGACGATGATTATGACGATGAAGAAACAACTATCGTACCTATTTCACCCACGGATATTGTCATACCGACTAAGTGGAATTGGTACGCTAAAAAACGATACGATCTCATTTATCAAAAAAATCGATCGGACATAAAAATCGAGAATAACAATGATATTCAGACCGGTTCTCAGTCAAAAAAGACGCAAATTTCGGGTATTAATAACATTTTGACAAGAATAGAGTCTGCCAGCAAACGGCATAATTCTAAAAATAGCAGGCATTTAATTGTGACTAAGGAAGAAAATATTAGACGTTCGACGCGGTCTCGGCACGTCCATGAAGCGAATTCAATCGAAACATTTCCCACCATAATTAATGATAACTCGGACTCCAATTCTGACATAGAATCAAGCTCGATCCTCGAAAGAATTATCCCTAAGTATAAAACTCTAGAACCGGTAAAGCTCGATTTGGTACGTTATGCGACCGACGATTCAGACGAAGAGTTTGAGCTTTTACGGAAAAGATGCGAGAGAATGCTGGCCGCGCCTCGTGTCTACAAAAATTTGCTCGCTCCGGATAAAAATCTAAAACAAACTAAAGTAAAAAACAAAAATACAAAGACGCGGTATACGAAAAAGGGCAATCGCGGTTCACTCAAGATTTCGTGCAGTTACACTGATGATGATGAGGATGAGGATGATGATGATGATATTCATAGTAGACGGAACATAAGTAAGAAAACTAGAATCGCTGATGAAGATGCCCTTGTTTTTCAGATATCTACTGGAGATTCAAAGGAGTATTCAAAGTTCAGGATGTCTAAGCTAGGTACAACCCCAAATAAGAAGGAAACTAAAGCGGACATTGATGACAGCAATCGACCAGAATTGTTAAAGAACAGTGGCATCAAGAATAATCGGCAGCATTTGAAACTTCAAGAGGTATCGGTACTTATATCACCGTTGAAAGAAAATGTATTATCTCGATTTAATACTGACTATTCTACAAATATTCATGATAATATAAAGTCAAATTTTAAACAGCCCATTGATATCAACACCACAACAACAAGAGTGAAAGGATTATTAAAGTCCAACATAAAATTGGATGATACATCAAGAATGAAAAGGAGTAGAAACAATATTGAAAATAAAGCTGAGCCAACTAGAACTCGAAATCAAGCGATGTTAAATAGTAAGAGAGCAAAACTCGATATACAATTAAAACGCAGTAACAATTCTAGTAAAGAAAATTTGTATGTAGATGATTCAAGCATCAACGATACATCATGTCAATCCAGTGTAAGAACTACTAGACTTCAAAAAAATAAAGCTATGAATTTATCAATACCTGTAGAAAGTGAAAATAATATTGAGAGTCATAATTGGAGAACGACGATGCGGGGTAGAATAACTCGCCAAAATAAAAATAAAAGCGAACCCATGGAAAAATCAAACAATATTAAAAAAAAAGACATTATTACAAAATTAAATTCAGAAAGACACGAGGAAAATATTGCTAAAAAAACTAAAATAAATAAAAGAAGAAAGTTTATCGAATGTTCGGATTTAGAAAACCCAGTGATAACCAATCGTTATATAACAAGAAGTACGCGAGTTAAAGATGATTCGGTTTCATGCTTAAATTCGATAGAAACAAAGAAATCTTTACGAATTAAAAATGCATCGATTAACGAAATCTCACATTTAGAGTCAAACAGACTAGAAAATATTACTCACACAAGAACTAGAAGTAGACGTATAAAAGATAATAATAATTTAGATACAAAACAATCGTGTATTAATTTTAATAATGAAACTCAAAATCAAGTAGTAGAGCCATCAGAAGAATCGCAAGAGGTGATGAATATTTTAAAGAATATCAAAGATAATGTTTCAGAAAGTAGTGATATAAATAACAAACGATTGTCTAATAATTTTGAAAATAATCAATTTGATTCAAATTGTGTTTCTAATAAATCAGCAAGTAGGATCAAACGACCCACATTACACAGACTTGCTAAAAATAAATCAATTACTCAATTTAATGAACTTTCAAATGAAGTTACAATGCCAACCACCCCATCGACGTCTCGAAAACGGAATAGCCGTAATACATCGGAATTACCTATATCATCTTCTTTAACATCATCAAAATGCAGAAGATCGATATCGTCGCCTCTTATACAAACTCCATACAAAATACTCTTCACTGGAGACAAATCTAAAACCTATACTGAAACTGTAACAAAATTAGGTACGCTACAACTTAATTAAAAAATTTATTATTATTTATTATATTCGAGGCAAATTTAAGAATAAAAATAATAATTATTGATTGAAAGATAAAAGAAAATTGTCTCTTTAAAATTATAATATAATGTATAGAAAATATCAGAGTCAGATATCGTTAAAGCAATTAATAATGTAAATACAATCCTATTAAAACATAATAGAAAATTCATCTTTTAAAATTCTACTTATTTGGATTTCGATTATTTTTCATTCATGAAATTGTTTTACTATAATAAATTTTACTATAAAACCTAATGAATTATATTATGCTTATTAAAATTACAACTATTAACGATTAAACATATTTTTACTCAATATCATTCATTTATTTAGGTGGTTACATAACCGAAGATCCTGCCAAGTGTTCAATTTTAGTTACTGATAAAATCCGAAGAACATTCAAATTTCTCTGTTCGGTAGCAAGAGGTATTCCTATAGTATCACTTAAGTGGCTGGATGACAGTAATAAAAGTCACTATTTTTTGGAATGGAAAAATTATATTTTAAAAGATGTGGCAACTGAAAGTCGATTGAAATTTAAATTAATGGAAAGTTTGAAGAAAGCTGAAAACCACAAATTATTTGTAGGATATACTATTATATTAACACCAAATATAACACAACCACCAATATCCGAATTAAAAGGTCAGTGTTATGACACTTAACTCTCATTGATTGAATAATATGTAAAATAAAATTTTATATTTTTATAATTTATTTTGTTTCTCAAGCAAGGCAGTACATTTGCATGATTATTTCATTAATCGTCTAATGCATTTGAAATAATAATTTATAATGCATTATAAATTAATAAAAATATATTTTCTTTAAATACTTATTATTTTTTTGTTTTTCAATATACATTAAAAAAACTTCTGATACTTATTTTTTTATTTATTTTTATTCAGAAATGATAACGTTTAGTGGAGGAAAATGTTTACTTCGAACACCAAGAAATTGGCAGGAAAAAACTGTCGTCATAACACAAGCAGATGACATAGAACATGCCAAGAAAATAATAAAGAAAGCTCCAATTTCTGTGACAATACACTCGAAAGAATTCCTGTTAACTGGAATTCTTAAGCAGGAGATAAATTTAATAGAATATAAAGTTTCAATTTAATTCTAATTAATTGTTTATAGAATTTATATATAATTTATTTTAGTTAATCTTAACATTTTCAATAATTAATTTAATCATTTTTAAATAAGAAATAGGATAATTCTCGTTTCATAAATCATGCAATATTTTAAATTAAGGCTTACAATTGTAATTTTTCTAAGTTCTAGATACATTACATTTAATATTTAACAATTATAGTTGTACATATTATATATTTAGTCTACAAAATATAATTCAGTATTTTTATTTAAATATATGTAATGCGAAAAGAGAATAATTTGATTTTAATTTCTTTTTTAATACTTTATCTTTATTATACAATATTTATCATATAAATTACTTCTAATAAAAAATACAATATAGCTTAAGAATGTATTAAAATTCTTTAAAAATTTTATTCAATCAAATTAAGAATTTTGTTAATGTTTATTTACTATATGTTATAAGTGCAGTCCTATTTATTATAATAGTTTTAAATATATATGTATATTTTATAAAAAAAAATTTCAATAAAATACATTTAACAAAAATAATATATTTTATTACATAATTTTAGTAAATGTATTTTTATTAAAACCTCATTATTTACAAATTCTTAATTTAAACTTTTAAACTAAGTCCAATATGCTAGGAAATAATATTGCTAAAAGTTCAATTGCAAAATTTTTCAAATATCCAGTATTTTCAAGAAAAGTTTACGATTTATTATATTTATTGGGCAAGTTTTTTAACATTATTGTTTATGATGTATGATACAGTGTGAAATGATAATTTAATTAATATACAATAAAACACTGGAGAATTAATCAAAAATATAATTTTATGCCAAATGTGACTTTAACATTTGATAGGCATATATATTTATATCATAATGTTAACAAAAAAAATCCTTTTTAGAATAAAAATAGTTTTATGTACTATGCGAAAATATGCAAAATCTATGTTGGAACTATATATGTTCATATGTAATTGGCCATTGATTGTAATACCACCAATAGTGACCATTGCTTAAGTGATCAGAATATTATATTTTATATATATTTTTTCCATATCAGCACACTATTTCAAAATTTAATATGAAGGTTGTCCATAAGTCTTTACAAGTTTCGATATATACTTCATTACTTGGAAAAGAGATGCTTTATTCTTTAAATATTAGTACTACGGTTGAATAATTGTCGTACCTATAAAGTCTAAAAAATTATATTTACAAATAGTTTATATTTAAAGTGCTTCTTCAAAAAGTAAATTTTTAACATAATATAAATCATATCATTATGAGATTGTAACACTTGTATATACTAACGAACGTACACAATAAAAATCCTTTTAGTATTTCCATATTGTTTCATTTTCAATATACTATTGATACAACAATTTAGTCAGTTTTGGGCAAGAAATTTTGGAACTTTATCATACAGTTAAGGCGTTCAATAGTGTGGAAAAAATAATTATGCCATAGTAATTTATTAAATATTAAGTTAACTCAAAGTGTATACATATATTTTTATTTAATAAAGAAAATAATTTTATATCAGATTATGCGTATTCTCATAATTTTAATTTTATTTTCCTTTTCACATATACTATTATTATAAGTAATATTAAGGCCGCTTGTAAATAAGATTAAGTCTTAAACTAATAACAATTTTTATTGTTGTTTACCATAGCATAGAAATTTGAACATGAAATGTTAATAATAATACAATTTTTTAATACATAAGCAATCAAAAAGAATGAAAAAAAACTTAATAACTATTCACTAAAATTACTTGAAATATAATAAAAATTTTAAATCACAAATATTAATATTTAAATGCACTTCAAAATTCAAATAACCGATACACAATATCGAGTTGTAAGTATTCCTTGCATAGTAGAAAAAATTTAATTTGTTTATTGTATGGTGGATAATAATTTAATGAGATGTCTACTTGGCAAAATAGCAACTCGATATACCTGTAACATGGAAATGATTATAATTTTTAATACATATATACAAAAGCTTATTTAAATTCATTTAATATCTTATTGTTTACAAAGATTGAGTTATAAAAAACTAAATTAAATGCTAACTATAACATATTTTATTTAATAAATAATTATATCTAGATAATTTATTACAAAATATATATTATTATGAAGCTAACGATTTTCAAATTAAAAAAAAAGAAGCTAGTTATTATTTAATAGTTTAATAATTATTTAATAATAAAGCTAATTATTAAATACAATAAATTTTTACTCAGCATCATAATGTATGATTTTACAAACAATTTAATATACTTTATCTTCAATAAACAGCGATATTTTAATTAAAAGCTATTTTAAAGGTCGATAAACAATAAAAGTAAAATAAATGCAGAAAATATGCATTGACCCTTGTACTTTACATACGTAAAATTAAACAGATTACAGAGCATTTATTTATAATGAACAATCGAGATATAATTACAAATGCATGTAAGGAAACATATTTATAGAAAAACAACAATCACATCTAATCTAATGTTCACATCATACCAACATAAAATATTTTCCAAACAATGGAAAATGTAAATAAAGAAATATAAGAGAGCAACTATATTTACATTTTCATACTCATTTATATAATTAATCACGAGTATGCTGGTGATATGAAAATAAATATAAAAATAATACTCGCCTGTGTAATCTCTAGAGCGCCTTGTTATTTATTTTTGACTGTCGCTTGTTATGCTCAGTGTTCATAAGTTTAGTTAGTAGCTTTCTGGAATGACCCGATGGATCAAAGTGATTCGTATGCATCACAGCTTCTCGTTTACTCCGTTGTTTACCACTATGCCCAGTAAATATGTGCTTATCATAGTCGTAGTTGAAATGTTCGTAAGCGTCAAAATGATCTTCCGACATGTTCAACTGCGTAGATTCCTTTTTCTTTCTTTTGTTCTATTATTACAATACTAGGCTGCAATATTTATATATTTAACTGATTACTTATGAGCAATCTGTAAAATCAACGTAATCTTTTTGTTAATTATTATTGGAGTTATTTAATTGTATCGAATAAGAAAGATTTTAAAAAATAAAATTTGCACGCAATCACAAAGTACATACAACTCTCAAATTAAATTCAATACTGTTTTCAGATGAGTCACTTCACATCTTTTATAACAATAACTGATTGCACATGCGCAGTGCAAATTTTCATCACTCCTAACGTCCCTCGACACATTTTCTTTGCATTTAAAGCGCAATTTCCTCCCCACCACTTTTTAATGCCCTAGTGTTTACATAAATATAATAGATTACTCTTACGGTAAAATCAACATTTCAAAGAGATATATTAAGACAAACGAGACATTCATTTTACAAATAATATTGCTTAATTTGAGTATTTGAAGTAATTGATTATTTTAATATATTGTTTTTTTAATGTGCGTCGTAAATGCTACTTACGAATAAAAGTGAAAAGATCTCTAAGCGCATGCGTTATATTAATCCAATAACAGCTGAATCATATACGTCGTTTTCCAATCGCCAATTTAAATACTAAATCTGGAGAAACATGCAGACGTATAACGATAACCGAATATATATAAACAGATGTGAAAAAACATATTGAAGTGTGAACTTACACAACATGTATGTATTCTTCGCTACGGCTGTAGTAAATATTTGATATTTAACTAAAAATAGAATATTTTCAAGTATTCATATAATAATAGTACGTACATTTCTTATCAAAGATATCAAATGATTGACCTTTCTTTAACCTTTTAAGTAAAACCAAAAAACTTTTAACCTATAAAATTATCTTGTTGTTTCTAATTTTATATGTATTTTTATTTCAACTTATTTTACAAGATTCTTTTATATTTTGATTATTAGAGATACATTTTTACAATAATACAGTATTATTGTATGATTCAATGGCTTACAATGTATATTTTACAATTAATAAGATGTTTACAACAAAAAGGTCAATTGACATATATGATAAACAGTATTTTATTATACTCAACTTACAATCAATATCGCTTCCTTATAAAATATCTATATATATATATATATATATATATATATATATATATATATATATATATTTAATTATTTACTTTTATTTTTCAATCAAAACCTACAATTGTCTTAAAATATATAAAATCTAATGCTTTAAAATAATATAATAGTAGATAAAAATGCATATAAATAATTGTATTCAACATATTTTCACCAATATACTATAAAAAAATATGTATTTTTTTTTTTATAAAATATATTATTATAATAAATATGTATTATTCATATATTCTTTTTTATATGTGAATAATTTGATATATTTAATACTGCATACATAAACGAATTATTTAGTAAACTGATCCCATAATTTATATAAATTGCAAAAATATAATACATTACTTTCAAATTTAAAGAGAACATAGAATAAATTGACTGCCATGCATTCTTCACAATTAAAAAAAAACTTTTTTGTAAATCAAGCCAATTATAAATTTATATTAAAATAGTTGCGAATCAAATTGCTGACTAATGCATTCTTCATTAATTAAATTAGCATTCAAAAACTTAGGCAAATAATTTATTTTTAATAAGGGAAAAGTTTCTATTATTCATCCAATTATCTCTTTATATATTTCCTTATGTATTTATTCATCATTTACTTTCTATTTTTATTTAATAAATAATATATTTGTAAATCAAATAAAATCATAATTTAACTTTTAAGTTCATTACTGTATCCCTAATTATTAGTTTCTTTTAAAATTGTAAATTAATTACTAAATAAAAATAATCATGTTGATTATATAAGAGCACATCATTTTTTGCATAAACATATATATATATATATATATATATATATATATATATGTTTATCTATGCGTTTGTAAGTATGTACATACAATTTGTGTAAGTATATGTACACATATATATATGTATATATATATATATATATATATATATATATATACATATATAAGTTTATAAAAAAATATTATGCAGTTTTATATAATATATACGATTATTTATAATATTAATAATTAATATATAATTAATATAAATTAATAATTTACAATTTTAAAATGAATTATGTTAATAATATGTATACATATATATATATATATATATATATATATATATATATATATATATAAACATTATAAATTTGCAAAAATGATTTTTCCTCGTTATATAATATATTAATATTCTGTGTAGAATTTACAATATTCAATCATTCATTTTATATCAAAGAATATTTCAGATACTACATTATTCAATCATTTAATGAAAGCCTTAAGTTTCATAATAAAAAAAAATAAATAAAGAAAAATAAACTTTGCAATGTATGAAAAAATTGAAAAAAAAAACCTGCAAATAATTAAATACTACGGAGAAAATGTTGAAAATACAAAGTTCAGAGTAAAATTCAAAATGCAATTAATGAAATATTATCATTTATGTTTATAATATTACTTTTTTAAAAAAATTTTAATTTATACATTAAATTAGATGTATACAATTATATAAAAAAAATGTCTACACTAATACCTAAACATTTTGTTAAAAATGTTAAGATTAAACATTAAAAGCAATTTTTACATAATTCAATAAAAGAAATATATTGATTATTTATAAATGTCGATATGTATCAGTATATTTATGTAATTTTTTAAATATACTTCATGAATTTAATAAAAATTCAGATATCACAAATATTGAATAAATAATTTTAAACCAAATTGTTATCTAACATATCCTTAAGATATATTTTATTTTTTTTATTAATTACGATATGATGAAAAATTTGTTTTAATTATGTTATAATGGATAGTTTGGTATCACATAATTATTAAATAAAAACATGATATTGCTTTTACAATTTTTTTCATTAATCTGTTAGTTGACACGACACATTTGATTTCAAGATACAATTAGTAAACATCGTCTAACAGAACAAGCCTTATGGTCTCCGTAAAAATTTTTGTTTTTTAAAAGAAGAGCATTTAATTTTAATTATATTTTTATAAAAGAAATAGTTTTAAAAATTATTTTATACACAGATTCAATGAAAGCTAAAGAAAAGTTTGGTGCATCGTTTAAATGACTGGATTTCAATAGAATTGAAATTTCTATGATATTGATAACAATAATATTCGAAATTTGTCTGGTTTCTAAATATGTTTGGGAAATATTAATTTTTAAATAAAAAAATATGAATGAAATTTTAATATATTTAGAAATATTTAAATATTATCCAATTTTCATAATCCTGCAGAGTAATAACTTGACAGATAAAGCCATTGCTATTACAAAATAAAAGGAATAATAATGCCTGTCCTTTTATATTAAAAATAAAATATTCAAAAGTATATATTTAGATCTCATAATATTTTGATTTCATTGGTGAACTACCATTATTTAAAAAATTTTTCGAATTTAGCAATAAATTATAATTGTTTAAGAAAAGCTGTATACATTATATATGTTAAAAATATTTTAAAATCTATTTGCTAGTTTCATAGCTTATTAGATCTTGATATTGCAGGGCTGAATAAAATTCATTTCGTTAAATAATTTTTAAATGATGATAATTAATAATTTATATTAAATGTAAAATTATTTTAAAATACTGTAAAATCATGAATTCCGACCTATTGAATTCTTATCAATACATAAACAATAAAGTATAAATATCTATCCACATTTTTTATTAATTACATTTCTTTCATTCGAAATTCAGAGGTCGTATGCATATTAACTTATTTCATATTTCTAAAATTTAAAGAAATAATAAACAGCATTCCAGAATCTTGGGAATATATAATCTGCGAATAATAATCATTATGTTAAATATAAATAATAGATTGTATCAATTTGTAAATTAAAGGAATAAAATGTATATATTTAAGTAGAAAAAACCATAAGCATGATTTTGAAATAGATTCTATATGAAACGTAAATATACAAAACAATAACCTAGTTACTTTGAAAAACCATATATATATATATATATATATATATATATATATTTATTATATTAAAAAATCATCTACATTTGAAATTACGATTAATGTTACTATTTTCTTATTAAAAAAGATATAAGATAAAAAATAATGATCTTCATAATTATATATGTAAATAATTGAATTTAAATATTCTTATTAATGTAATACTAATAGGAAGCTAATGCATATATTTTAATACATTTGTATACTTAAAGCAAATTAGTATATTCAATTATTTGCATGTAAAATTATATAACTATTTTCATCAAATTATATCGATAGAGTTTTTATAAATAAAATATTTAAAAATTGTTTAAAAGTTATTTGATATTGTAAAATTATTTTTAAATATCTAGCAGTAATCTTGAATAATTATAGATAATGAACGTTCTGCAAAAATATTTTAAGTTTTTATTATGATTAACCTTTAATTAAATTATGTAAAAATCGTGCCGAAAGTCAAGTTCATTATAATGCAAAATAAATATTTATAAATATTTCTCTTAAAAATGTATGTCCATGTCACGAAACACCTTTGATTTAATATTATCTAAATAAAAAATCTTCAAGTTATGATATAAGAAATTACACTATAGATTATTTTATACAATTAACTGATTTAGAAAATTTTGTTATTGTTGAAACAAAAAGCTAAATGCTCGAGAAATAATATAACAGCAATTAATTTCTTTCAGATAATATATGGATAATAACAAATAATTAAACGAGTTTTATAATAAATAATTCAATAAAATTATTTAAGCGATTTAGAACTAATTAATGTTTTCTCGCCAATCCCGTAAACGTCGCCACCTTTTCGATAATCAGCATTTGCATATATTGTGTTGTTATTTCTGATGAGTATGCATACAACGCTACCACGATCCCTGTAGCGTGAAGTTTTGTGTCCAAGGGCTTTTAATCCATCAATTACTGACTTCGGTACACCATATTCATAAGAAACTTCCATGGGAATAAGTTGATGATGTATTCTGGGAGCATCCACGGCTTCCTTAATGGAGTTTCCCATCCATAAGTGTCTTGCTATTACCTAAAATGATCAAATCACACATTTATTGATCTTATAAATTAATCTGTTATTTGTATGTGTAAGAAGAATAAATATAAATAAAATTATTAGTCACATTATGAGTCGTAACAATGTGTATAAAATGCGAATAATTTTAAATTAAAAATAATTCTAACTTCGAAATCTTATTTAATTTTATATTAACATATACAATAGTATAATATTTATATAATTAATGAATACTATTTTATTAATGTAAATACTTTGATTATCTATATTTTGAAATTAATATATATATATATATATATTTCAATTAAAAAAGCAATTAAACAGTATTTTGTATTCCGCTTTTCAACTGTTCAACCCGTAACAAGTATGTTTTTAAAAAATAAGTTTTAAAAAATTAATATTAAGATAATATATACTAATTTTTATATAGATACAATTGAATAATAAGTGTCATTGTTCAAACAAAAATTATTATAAAGTTTAAGGTTCAAAAATGCATATTATATTCTATAATTTTATCGAATTAAATCAATTTATATTTACAAAAATAATTTTTATTTTATATAATAATATTATTATAAGGTATTGTATCATAATTATTATAAATTATTACTCATTGTACATTATTACACATTGTACTCCAAATAGTCTTTTGAATATAAACAAATTTAATATTATTAATGACTAAAACCACGACAGTATTAACAAGTACAATGTGAAGTCCACGTGAGTTAATTTGTACATAGGATTTATTAATATAGGTTATTTAGTTCATGAATATGAAATTAAAATATGATTTATGCCAAAAATAACATAATGCAGACCTTCGAGATACACTGTATAGATAGTCTTTTGTCACGTTTCTCTTCAAATCAAACGTATATATATATATATATATATGCACATATTTTTCTATAAGCAAATTACTACAATTATACTATATTATATTAATAATTTACATATTAAGCATTTAAATCTTTATTACAAATGTCTTTATCATCAAATGTTGTTACAAAAACCTTTTAAATATAAATATAAATGTAAACATAAAATTATATTTTGTGATTTTAGATTTGAGATAATACAATTAAAATAGTAATAATGCGTTTAATTAAGACAAATAAATTAACAAAAAAAAAATATAAACTATTTGTAAAAATTCTAATATTTTTAAAAATATTATTAACTATAAGTACGTTAAACTTGTAATATGTACTTGTGATTTATATTTATATGATTGAAAATTTTTTCAAAATTACTGAAAACGATAATATAACATTTTCACATATAGTATAGTACCCACTAATAATTAAGAGTAAATTCGTTTCATGAAATTAAATTAACATCATAATAAATAAATAAAAACATAATATTTCGATACATTTGAAATTAATTATAATTTATTTGAGCAATGAAGTATAATTAAATTTGCGTAAAAAATGCATTTTAACCTGTTGCCAAACTACTCAACTTGCTTACTTGAAGAGATCAATGTACCTGAATATCTTATATTGTTTATGAAAATAGGTATGGCAGTTTACAGATAAATGTATAATGCAGACTGATTTAAAGGCTTTACCTTGAAATTTTTTTCTTATTTTTCTATTTTAAACTCAAAATTTGTATGCATTAATATTACGAATAAAAATGCTCATATGCAATATATATTGTTCCTCTTCCAGTAATTTTAGAAACAATGATAATTTAAAATTACTGATATTAAAAATAAATTTGATGAGCAATATATGTACAATAAATTAACTATTAATCATATTAATTTATCTATATTTTCAATTTTTGTAAAACTGATTCCATTATTTAAGAAGATTAAATCTTATTTTACAAAATTATAGAAACAAGTCAACTTCCTTAAGAAGTATTAAATATTGTATTAAAATTTTTTTATATTATTAAATATTAATTGATTTATGATTTTACGAATATTAAAAAAAATCACTTATTTGTATTCGTTTATTTTACATTAGCAAAATATAATGAATATATATTATTTTTTCTATATATATATATATATATAGAATAAATAAATTTATTCTTACATAAGCGATTGATGTTGTAATCTTAGTGCCGCCAGCAGCTCCTATTACCATTTTAACATCTCCATTGCTATCAGTTAGTATTGTTGGGCTCATCGATGACAATGGCCTTTTTCCTGGTGCAATATAATTATTTTGATTAGAAGGTATACCAAAGTAATTTATTATGCCTGGAAAACCAAAGTCATCCATCCCACTATTTAATAAAACTCCTGTTCTCTTACTCATAATTCCACTTCCAAAGCTAAAACAGTAGATTAGACAAAAAAAAATTGAATTAGTGAAAAATAATCAATGAATGAATCAAGAACTATCTTTAATTTTTCGAATATTTTTATTATTTTATTTTTCAATTATGTTGTGTAAAATTATGAATATTCAGATTTTTAAATTATACTATAAGAAATAATTATTATTATACACTATGAAAACATCATATTCAATTATAAATATTCAACAATTCTTTATAACAAATTGTTAATTTTTAAATTCTATGAAGAAATTTTATAAATTGCGCAGTTTGTAGAATTTAATTAATTATAATAATAAAAAAAAACAAAAACAAAAAATGAGCTTACTATATATTTATGGAACTAGTGACAGAAACTGCATTTCCGTTTTGATCAATGACAGATATTTGTGCTGTACCGTGATCTTGAATATTTCCTAAATTTTGCACACCATAATGAACAGGATCATACCATGTTTTATTATCGCTTATCATCATTCTTACTGAACGAGCATATTCTTTTGATGTTAAGTGTCGAAACAACTAAAATCCAAATAAGTAAATAAATAAAAATTATTGGGTCATTTATATTAATGTAGCAGAATATGAATGAATACTGAATAACATATAAAACTTGGAAATATTTTGACTATAATAGAGATGTACCAAGCAATTAACAAATTTGAAACTTATTGGAAAAATTTCAAATGTAAGAGCTTAAAAAACAAATCAAAAATATTAATGGAGAAAAAATTAGTGACTTAATAAGTGTTAATTAAAACTTTAATAAATAAATTTTATAAGCTTTAATAGTGCAATTTAAATATTCTTTAAATCACTTGAATCAAATTTAAATTCGTGTTGGTTTTCTTTTTTTGTTTTAGATATTTTAAAACTTTTATTATTTATTGCAAATTTATAAGTCTATTATTTGAAGATGCAATTAAATAATTAATAACAAATATAGTGAAATCATTTGCTCATATGTTTGATAAGGAATTGAAATAAAATACTTACTACAGATAAATTAACATCACCCAATTGTGTTCTAAGAGCGTAAGCGTATTTATATGTTTCTATAATTCTATGATATGTTCTTATAATAGATTTTGTATCGGCGAGATCAATTGGTGAAAATTGAAATTCATTCAATACATTTAGCATAAAAGCTAACAAACCTCCGCTTCCTGGAAGACCTGTTGTATAAACTTTCGTCCCATCATCGAGTATCGTCGCTACTGGTTCTTGCCACTTAACTCTATAATAAATATTATATATTATTTTTATGAACAAATTTCTTTTCATAAAACTCATCATTTGTCATCGGACATTTGTGCTGAAAAGTATAATAAAAATTAAACTTAATATTTAATTTTTTAAAACTTAATTACCTATAATCATTTAAATCCTTTATAGTTATAATACTGCCACGTTTTTGAATATCTTCTACTAATAATTTACCCAATGTTCCATTATAAAATTCTGTCGCATTTTTCTCTGCTACCGTTCTCATTGTTTGGCACAATGTTTTTGGTCGAATTATTGATCCAGGTTTGTAAAATTCACCAGTTTCTTTATTCACAAAAATTTCCCTAATAAAGTAAGATTACAATTTGTCATACAATATAAAATTTTGTAAAAACTTAGGTTATTAATTATTTTAAAAGAATCTGCTTAATAACTATATACGATAATAAGCTATGAACAAAATAATTTCACATTTTACTAATTTAATAAATGCAAAACTCCAATAACGTATAATGTATAATAGTACAAGTATGCTTATATATTCAAAAATGCTTAACAGTATATAATTATTTTAATGACATTTACTTTTAATTTAGTATATAGTATTATATTATATTAAGATTATAGTATATTACAATTAATATAATGATTTAATTAAATTGGTATGCAGCGATATTTTATATAAAATTTGGAATTTACTTTAACATTGAATCTTGATAGATATTAGAGACATTATAATTAAGACCGTCATATTGAACTTTGGTTAAATTATATCCTTTGTCGCAGAGATCAATACTTGGCTGAAAAAGTTCATTCCATGGTAATTTTCCGAATCTCTGATGTGCCTCCCAATAACCAGCTAACTCGCCAGGTACCAAAATTGATAATCCACCTATTATTATAAATATTATTATTTTAAAATTATATTTATAAATTCTATTGTTTTATCAATGTATACTATATAGGATTAAAAAAAATTTAACCGTACATATTAATTTTAATGATTTACATTATGGTATAATAAGCATTACAAAAATTACTAGATAAATATAAGATAGAATTCAATCTGAAAAATATAAGTATATAGATTTATAATATCTCACTGTCCTTAAATAATTTTTCAAATGGGTAATCTGATGTTTACCGGCTCGTGATGCATATTTTGACTTTCCTTCAAACATATGTGTATGTGCTGCTGCCGGTGCAGTGTCTCTTGCATTTAATACTATAGCCTGCTTTTTCTCCCTTTCATAAATTGTCATTAAAAAGCCCCCGCCAAACCCCATACTTTGCATATTAATCAGTCCGTTACAAATCAGTGAAGCAATTGCTGCATCAATTGCAGATCCATTACGATCAAGCATCGATCTGAAAATATTTAATCAATCACTTTACTATATATATATATATATATATATATATATATTCATTGGTTGTAATTTATAAATTATCTTTAAACAAATTTTTGATAAATTATAATATTCAAATTTGTAAAGATTGAAAATATTTTGAATCTGTTATTAAATACATTTTTCACCCAATTCTTATAACCATTTTGTATAATTCGATCATATTATTTACAATCGTCTGAGTATTAAGTACCATCGTGTTTTATAAATAAAAAAATTAAGAAAATAATACACTGTGCTTACTTGCCAATAAGTGCACAAGGTGCTCCATCTGCACAAACAGCTCCTTGTTTGAACATCCTTAATTTGCTCCAGGATGGTGGTAATTGCTGTTCAGGATCCGACGGCATCAAACGATTCGATTCTTGATTAATTTGTTTTCCATTAAATAGACTGACAATTAAGATTATCCCTAATAGAACACCGGCAACTCCAAAGCCACTCATTGTGACCAATCTTTTGGTTAACCATGGTCTAAAATAAATAAATGCTAAGGGTAATATTATTTTATTTAGTCTAAAAGAATTATAAATAATGTTTTGAATTTTCGATATAGTTAAATGAATTAAATTAATATTATTTTATTATTTTTAGCTATGTTACATAAGATTAATTATTAACGTAAAATAAAAGTATTGATACGTATAACAATCATGAACATTCATATTTAAATATATACAAATTTGAGGAGCATATTTGCAAGTTCATTATAATAATTAATTTTATAATTCCCTCAAATTGTAAAAAAATTTAATTAGAGTAAATGTAATTTTTTTATTTTATTTTAAAAATAATTTTTTTTAATTTTATATACTCAATATTACAAATAGCTATTGCAAGTGATTAATATAAATTTAATTATTCCTTTAAAATGTATTAATCAATTGATAATTCTATTCAATTTTTCCTACAATTATAAAATTATTAATAATATTAATTAATAACATTCGGTTATCAATTTTCGTAAATATTTTTGTGTTCATTTAATGATTGGAATTAGTATTATAATTAGTATTCGTGATTCATCTAATAATCTACAATAATTATAAGACAATATAATTGTTTTAAACTTCTATATTTGTTATAATTGTCTATTAAATGTATTAATTTTAAAAATAATAAATTATAAATACTTATTGCAAATTCCTGACATTATAATATTCTGATTATTGCTTATATAAGCTATATAAAGCATTTGCGACATAATAAAAACGTTTATACGAACTCACTGTAAATGTTAAAAATATGAAAATAATTATTGTCATTTGTCAATGAAAATGTTATTCACATAGTCACAAATCTCTTATTTGATATTAAAATGAATTATTAATCGTTCTTAATTAATTTAATCCTTTTTATGAAAAAGGCGCAAATCTAGTTTACCATATTTGTCGATTTTTATTACAAATATACCAATGAGATCATTAATGTAGCTCCTGTTAATATTCACGCTATATTCAATTAAAAATTTAACGTTTTCTAGACACGTTAAAAATAAACGATCGTCATTAAATCTTTCTTATTTTTCTGATTTTTTTAAAAATTATTCAGTCAATACTAATAAAATTTTGTTATTTGATTATTGCAAAACAATATAAAATATAGAATGATTATTGCTAAAAGTATCAATTATCTGAGAAAAATATCGTAAATTTATATTATTTAGTTTCAAACTGTTTATATGCATTATATGTTTTGCTGAATTTACATTTACTATGATGTATCGATTAAATCTTTTAATATAATATATTTTGAAAACTTAAAAATCTAAAATACAAAAATTAAAAATAAAAATGAAAAACTTAATCTAGAAATGATAAAAGAATTTTATAATATGTATAAGCTTATTACTTTAAATGTAACGTAAAGAAAAGATAAATTTAAGCCGGCTTCATTGACATTCGTTCCGTTTAAATTTTCATTAACCCTTGAAGTTTCAGAAACCCTTGAAAAACTTACTTATGCCAATAACAATGAAATCGAGGACACAAGCCCATGTCACCGGGATCGTATGAAACATCTTTTAAGGAGTAATAGTCAGCAAGATAATCGAATGTCAAAGAACTTAAGTTCGACGGGCAAAGAGGAAAGTAATTCGCCTTACAACTCGAACTTGACTCCAAATGGTACAACCATTTAACTTCATGTCGAGATATTTACTTCGACTCTTCTTCCTCTTCTTGAATTTTAGTTGCACGAGACGCACAACAATAACATTATTTTTAAAATCAAATTGGTTTTAAAATATAATTTTCTGTTCTTACTCTCCAAACCGACTCTTAGGTTGGTTTATGTGAGGACGAATGCTGAGGTTTTATTTAATAAGTAGTGCAGTGGATAGTAGTACGGAATGATTCGCTACGTAAAAGATCGATCGATTTATACGTATTCTTGTATGTACTAGAAGTGATGCTCATGCGCCAACAGCATGGCTTTCGACAGATTTGATATTTCAGGTTTATAAATGTCGGTAACATCGTGCGCTATGTTAGCCAAATCTCAAACTGTAGTTCCCTTACTAATGATACAGCTGATCGCTTATATGAACTGTTTGTGCACTTTTGTGAAATATTCGAAATATAATACATTATTTACAAAAATAACTAATATAAAAATTTTGACAGTCACGGGATTTTTTTTTATGTCAATTTATTACCTAAAATGTAAATTGTTATATTTTTTATTAACAATAATTTTATTAACAATTTTTTCGTTTAGACCTATCTGAATAAAAATATGAACACACACACATATATATATATATATATATATATATATATATATATATATATATTAGTATAAATGCAGTTTTATATAAGACATACCTTATCGTTTTGATACAATTCAGTTATAAATCATGTATAATAAAAAAAAGGTCTTAGATACTTTTTTAATTTTTAATTTTATACAATAAATTAATTTTAATTTGTAAAATATATAATTGTATAATTATATAAAATTTGTAAATTAGTTAATTAAATGAGGTTAAAAATTAAAAGAAAAATATTGAAACATACCTTATAAATCTGTGTATATATGTTAACACAATGATATATCAATATTTTAATATAATATATGAAAATATTTAATAATACACAAATAATAAACTTTTTATAATAACTACTTTTTAAATTGATATTTTAAATAGATGGAATTTAACTAAAAATATATAGATTCTTTATTTTAATTGGATCTGATTTTATATATATATATATATATATATATATATATATATATATATTTAGATATATTTAGATATTCCACTAATTTTTAAACTATTATAAAATTTGTAAATTATTAAATTACATGTATTACATATTAATTAAGGATATAAATTAGGAATTTTTTATATCTTCAATCCAATTTTAAATTTATTTTCAGATATTAATAAAAATTTTTCATTAAGATCAAACATTAATTTAAGCTAAGTTTTTTTATAATATATTGTAATTTTTGTGTTAATTATTGATAAATATTTATGAAATTATTGACAATATTGTTGAAGATGTAATTGATTGAAAATATAATGTAATTGATTATTCCTTAAAATTTTCTGTAAATATACAGAATTTTTATTGAATGATCACATATAATATTTTAAGCTACTTACTTAATTAGAAACAAAAAAAAAAAGATACAAAAATAATTTTATTAAAATTATTAGTTATAATTATATATTTTTATAAAAATAGCTTACAATAATATTTTTTAGAAAAATACAATGTCATTAAAAAATTTCGAAATATAATTTTAATTTTTTTTATAATTTCTTAGATATATTTATGCATCATTATTTATTAAAAATTCTTCGTTTTACTTTTGAAAAAGGCAATAAAAATTATATTTTATGTGGGTAATTATAAATTAATCATTATAATGAAATAAATATCGATACAATTATTTATTTATTCATATTAATTATTGAATTAATTTGGGATTAAATAGACCAAATTTATTTAATTATATGACATTTCAATTTATGAAAATTATAAAACAAAAATAGAAATAAAAATATAGAAATATAAGATGATTTAAGATGACATAAGATGTAATATAAAACAACAATAATTATAGTTTCGTTGTCAGTTGATTAAAAGTTTTTTACATCGAATGCAAACAAACATTAAAAAAGAAATTACGACATTAGAAGAACGAGTAAATAGAATGAATAGAATATATGTTAAATTAAACTGAATTACACATACAAAGTTATAATTACGAGGAATTTAAACGTAATTATTAAAAACATTAATTGAAAACATTAATTAATTATTCATCATAAATATTTTTCATTCATTTTATTTTCATTTTATTTCATTTCTAAATATTATTATCAGTTCTAAATATTACTTTTAGTTTTAATTTGATGAATATAATTGTACGTTGTTATTTTAGGCAAATCATTACCCTTGTAGATTAAAGATTTAAGGAAACTTAGAAATAAATATTTTAATAAATAATTATATATCTGGAAAAATTTTTATTCATTAATTTAAGGGAAAAAAATCAATATTTTTATAGGTTCTGAATTCGAGAAAGACAGATTCTAATAATGGGTTCTAATTTTGCGAAACATATTCCATTCTATTTACTAGACTAACTATATATATTATATAGAGTATATGCGACATTTAATAATTCAAGTAGGTAATTATGAGATTGTAATCCAATCCATGAAAGAAAACTTTTCATTGCGTAAGCAAAATATAATGTTAACACGAGTCCTACATTTATTACCTTAAACTTACCTATTTCGATCACGTAAAGTCTCGAATTTGAGATTGTTGGTTCGTGGCATCTTGTATGAACCGTAATGAACTCACTACGAGCTACTGTAATTTTATTGAGCCAAAATTCTGAACTTCGTAAATTATCGCTCGTCTCATTGTTTGACGTAAACAGAAACAAGGTCGCAACTATAAGCACGGACCGGCTCACACGAGCAAATGATCGTTGTGAACTAAAGTCCGAGTGAAAGGAACTTGAAAGATTATCTACACATGCATGTGTTACTTCTCTTCCATCAGTAAATCACATTGTGCGATGTATCAACATATTGGAATATGCAAAGTTATCTTCTTTTTCTAGTATTAACATGAAACATTATTAGACTGTATATGAATTTGCTTAGTAAACGACATAAATATGTAATTACTCGTTATATTATACATTTGACTCAACCAGTTTTATTTTACAAAATTTTTTATGTAGCTTTATGTCTCTGACTGAAGCATATTATAAAAAGTTTTAAATTATTGATTTATTGCGTTGTATTTTAAATCAAAGGGCGAGATAAATAATTTTATAACATTAATTTTAAAATTAAAAATTTTTTTCTTTATAATTTTTTTAAACTTAATAAAATATCAAATTCTAGAATTGTAAATGCATTGTAATAAAATATTTGTTTTTTTTCTCTTTATTATTACTAAAACATTATGGTGAAATTTTATTTAAAAAAAAAATTAAATATTTCAAGCAAAAATTATATTTTGTATGAATTTTCCAAAATTTAAATATGGCGCTCAATGCGAATCGGCATTAGTAAAAAATCAATTACTACTTATCTGCTGCCTATATTACCTACTCAATTTTCACATTAATTTATATAATTTTAATATAAAAATTTATTAACTATAATAATAATTTTATTATACTTGAAATAAATAATTGCAAATTTTATAAGTTTTGCCATTATTATTTTAGTATACTGAGACACGCATATATATTCATAATTATTCTTTATAATATAATTTAACAAATTATACAGCGATTAATAATCAATTAATTCTGAAAATTTTATTTTGTAAAAAATAGCATTGACATTGATAAAACAGTTTTTATTTCCTAAAATGGCCATTCTTTATTATATAAAAAAATTATTACTCAATAATATTTTATCTTCACTTTACGTAAATTATAAGTAAACTATAATTATACAAATATTTTTATAGCAATTATTTAAAGGTAATATAAAAAAATTAGATCAGAATAGAGATGTATAGTATTAGATTTGATGAAGATATATATCTCATTATCTAATGTAATTAAAGCAATTTAAATCCTTTACACATAAATTTGGAACATTTTTACCTGAAAATTTAATGAGAAAATATTACATTACGATATAACTATATGGGATGATAATATTAGAAGTCAAGATTTAAAGAAACACAATCGTCAAGTCATACATTTTATTTTCAGTGGCGTACAAATACGTAAAGTGAAAATTAAGAACCTTAAGCAGTTATATTTTCGTTTGTAACGCATATGTATGCGCGCGCGTGTGTGGGGGGGGGGGTGTCGATTCGAATTCATTCAACTTTCTTTATTATGTCTAGACAGCAGTTCTTCATTGGATTATCTTTACTTTGAAATTACTAAATAAATTATTCAGGATACACATAAAAAACTTTTATTTATTAAAATTTTACTTTCGATATGGGCTATTTGTATAGTATTTCCTATTATGATTGAGTTATTTGTAATATAATGTATGTAAGTATAAACTTCTTAACATCTTAATTTTAAATGATAAACTTCATAATATGGATATTCAAAATTATACAAGATAATTTAGTAATTTATTTCTAAGTGAATGGTTATCGACGAATTTTATATATAAGATAAATTTTATACGTAATTGAGTTAAGTACAATTTTCGAAATTCATACAAATTAAATGTTATTGTTTAATATTATTTATTATTTAGCATTACGCTAAATAAGTATAATGTATATATACGCGCATGTGTGTGCGCGCGCGCGCGCGTGTAAATTGAGTATCTATAAACAAATATTATTTAATAAAAATGTAAGATCTGAAGATTATGATCGAATAAAATTTAAGAACTGTTGGAATTTGGACACGTTATAAATCCCTAGTCGATTGAATTTATCAGAGTATAAAGGTATTTTTCATCTTTCCCCTTATATTATAAAATACAAGTATAAGTGATCGGAATTATTCCAATAAGTTAAATTTTAAAACGAGGATATATCTTGTACATTTACAATTTTAGATAGCCAATTTATATAGATATTTCATTAGAAAAAAATTGATTTGATATTCATTTGCTTACATAAAACTCATTATACGTAAAAGCATGATAGCTGTGAGAGATCTTGAATTCCATTTAAAATGGAATACTTGATGGTGTTGATAGATCCTCCTCTTCTTTGGATATAATATAATGACATAAAATAACGTAACATTTGCGCTGAAATTAGTAAAGTAATAATACCAATAGTAAAAATATAAATAGTGTTATAATCGTTTTGAATTTTGTTTGTGTTTCAAGAAATAATTACGAACATATAAGAATTCAATCTAGGCGCGGTTATATTAAATAGATTCACGACGGCTTATTTGCAATAGAAACATGGAATATTCAAACACTTGATCATTTTGACAGTAATCATAAACTAATATTAATTAAGTTATGAGATATGAGATTTTTAATTTTATGGTATTAGAAATTTTAATAATATTATATGTATATGTTGCTCCTATTAGCTTTATATAAAGTTTCAATAGCCAAATAATTGCAAATCAATTACTAAAATAGTAATCATAACGATTCCGAAATTAAACAACGCTATCAATTCTATGAATATAATTGTTTACAAATAATTCAATTTTTAAATTGCTGTAAGATTTGCTATTAGATTTAGATATATATAATAAGCCACCCACTATGACTTCCCTTGACACTAGGTGTTTTAAATTAATTTGACCAAACTAATTATCTATTTTGACGTCAGAGGAGTCTTTTCATATTAGTGTATTAGACGCCAGTTATATAAAAATTCTATAATGCTCGATTGATCTAATACGCAACAAGAAATAATGAACGAGAGAAAAGAATATTTTATAATAAATATACATACAGTCATAAAGCCCAAAAATCTCTTTTTGTTATATCAATACTAGAGGAAAATAAAAAATCTAAAATAATTATTTTTAGTATTATTAAATTACTTAGTAGAAGTGAATTACTTAGTAATGCAAAAAGAATAATAGAAAATATTTTCTAATAACAGAAAAAGAAAATGACTATATTATTATTCATAAATTATTATTCGTAAATTATTTATTAGATAATTAATCTATCTAAATATAAAATTTACAATTCTGTTTATAATAATATATTTATTCATCTATTTACTAATTTTCAGCGAAGTATATAAAATAAATTAATGCTTGCTGTAATGAATAAATGTTAAATAATGTAAATTTTCACGATTTAAAAATAATTATTTATTTCATATCCTATTTATAAACAAATAAAAAAACAACATAAAGCAGTGTCGTATTTAAAATAAAATTGTATCTTGAAAAACAATCTCCTCGATACATTATTGTGTAAATATTCTACAAGTACTTACGTTTAAGTTATTATAAAGTAGTACATTGCTAATAGATATTTTTTTTAATGTAATTTTATTAAATGTAAAATATATTTGTTTCATGTACAAAATATATATGTATATTATACAAATTATATTGTATAATAAATAAGTATAATATTATTATATGTTATCAAATATTGTGTAAAATAACAATTTCAATTATTAAATATTCCAATATGTAATATATATATATATATATATATATATATATATATATATTGGATAATAATTATATATATTGTTTAATAATTATATTTGGAAAAATTATAATTATTATATTTTATTATAATTCTCTAAACCCTGAATACAATAATAATGTTTATAGTACATAAATGTAGTACACGATAAAAATATAATATTTCAATTTAATTTAAATTTGCTCACTGATTTTGTAACTCATATTGTATTTTTGCATTGAGCTTGATCGTTTCTTTATTATTTATTTATTTCTCTCTGACTTTAATTACTTAGTTTGAAAATCTCAGGAAAAATAAAAAATTCTGGGTTTTATCGAAGTTGTACAAACTAGGTTCATAAAACATTGACCTGTTATTAAGTGTTGTCTTCTATATTCATGTGAACATTAACATTTTTCAACTATTAAAGCCCGAAATATTCTTATGAGTTGATAAGATATTTAAATCAAAAGCATTGCTACGCTTCGTTTGTGTGCATTGCACGGTAAGGCCCACCAAATACCAATTCCTGAAAAGATAAGGAACTTCGGTTCTTAAAGTATGTGAATCGATATATAACTGATTTAACAAAGAGACAATACAATTTTACAGTTGCATATAATTTACCTTAAAAATTAATTATTCCATGTCGTTAGTCATTGTGTGGCTACCACTTTTTCATTTTTACGATCTATAAGTTATCTAAGTTTTTGGAGAGGAAGTACTTCCGATATTTAACGAATGAAAAATATATTTTACAATAAAGGAAAAAACTAACTAACGGTTATCTGTTATAATACCCTTAGCTTTTCTTCCAATTTTAATATATAGATGTATTTTTCATTCCTCTTCTTTACAAAAACTATATGCATTTTAAGAGAAAAATTCAAATCGTATAGTTTTAAGTTCACAAAACCTTAATTATAAATACTATTATATATTTACCTTGGATATATACAGTTATTTTTAAAATATTATTTGTAAGTGAATATATGAAATTATTCTAGGACATAAATGAATAATAATAATATGAATTAAATAGATTAAATAGATTATTTAATATAATTAGATATCGGTAAACTAAAATATTCGGCAAAGCATTTCTTTTATAGATAATTTAAATACATTATATTGAAATTATAATTATTGTAATTAAAATGAAATAGATAGATGGTAGATAAATAGAGTTATAAAGAGAGACAGAGAGAGTG